AGGACACGCGAGCTCAGCAGGGCCGCGCTCCTGAGACTCTGGGGAGAACCCTCCTGGCCTCTGGGGGTGACAGCCAGGGCCCCAGTCACAGCTGCATCCCTCGCCTCCACCCGTCGTCACACGCTGTCTCCTGTTTTATTAGAATTGGTGATGTGATACCTGTTTTAAAGTTAAACGCTTAATTTTGAGGTAACTGTAGACTCCCACGCAGTTGTGAGAAATGATGCAAGGAGACAGGTGCCCCTTGCCCAGGCCCTCCGAGGGTGGAGTGTGCAAAGCCGAAGGACAATGTCACCCAGGCCGATATTCGGAGGTACCCCCCCCAGCACCGCTCCCCTCCTGGACCCTGGCAGCGCCCATCTGTCCCCATCTTGGGGACTTTGTTGGTGCAAGAACCTCGCAGAAATGGGAGCGGGCGGCCCGTGACCTCTTCCCGCGGCGAATTCCTGGAGGAGTCATCCCAGCCACTGTGGGAGAGCGGGAAGCCTGGAGTTCCCAGGACGGTGGGGTGTGCGAGGCGACGCCCGGTGCACACGATCGCCTCCTCCAAGAGCGCACGCCGGCCAGACCGCCTGTGTCCTTAAGGCAGGATTCGGGAAACCTCATCAGCATTCCAGGGGCTCCGATTCCCGGAACGGGCGCAACAACAGCCCGAGAGTGAGAAGCACTTGCCCCCATGCGGCCGGCCACACGGAGGCCTTAAAAGGAGTCTTTTCAGAAAGAGACAATAGGACTGACTTATGTGTAAACGGAAAAGAGAAATGGGCAGTTTTAAAATTCTTCCGTGTTTAAACACACATGCAGCCACGGGTCTACAGCTCCCTCTGTCAAAACAGACTAATCCACGAATTCCAAGTTCTGATAGAAACGGCTTCTCAAATAACTTAAAAAAACACCGAGACCACACACTCCCGGCTGACGCTCCCATCTACACACACGCACCATATTTATAAACACGTCACAGGCAGGCGCTGAGCCGCGCTGACCACACACTCACTGTCGGGAGACACGGGCCAGAGCTAATGAACATAAAACGAGGTTCGATCTGGGACTTGCACACGAGTGACACCAACAGACGGAAGACACGAGGGAGGGACCCACCGCAGTTCTCCAACCGCCAGGGCCTGCGGGGGTCAGTTCACAGCAGTCACGGCTCTCGGGGCAGGGACTTCGAGGTGGACGGTGCAGAGGGGGGATGCAGGACAGGATGTTGTCCACCCAGAACACGCAGGGCTGTGCCTGCCAGTGCGGGTCAGCTCCAGCCTTTGGTGGGACTTGGGTGGGACAGGACAGCAGGACAGGGCAAGGGGGCGGGGGGGATGATGGTCTCCAAGCCCCTGCAGACCCGGGAGGTTCTTCGCGACTCACACCCAAAGCTGGGCATCTTCCCAGTCCGGGGAAATGCTGGCCGGAACCCAGGGGCAGGGCGGTTCTACCTGGACACAAGGCCTCGCCCTGGCCAGCCCCAGAACAAGAGGCTCTTGAGCAAGACGGTAGGTACAGCCACTGAGGTGTGCGCCCCTGGGTGCAGACTGGACCTGGGGGCTAGGAGCTGTCCGTGCTGCATGGCATCTGCTGGGAAGCCCCACCAGTGACCACACAAACGAGGTCCGCTCGAGTGCTGGGCTCATCCCAGAGAGCCAGCCGGACCTGTCAGCTCCCCTGGTGCAAGACCGGCGGGGGCTCCCGCGGGACTCCGGCCGAGGTGGCGTTGGTCCCGGCCACCCCTCCATGCCAGCAGCGGCCTCAGGGGATGCCCTCCTTCCTCTGGCAGCACTGAGAGGGCGGCGCGGACCAGTCGTAGACGTAGGAGAGGCGCAGCTGCACCTCCTGCTGGCACAGGCGGCCCTCGCGCGCCAGCGTCTGGTGCTTCTCCAGCATGTCCTCCAGGCTCTGCTTGTGCGTCACCAGGTACTGGTTGCTGCAGCCGCGGGACTTGTACTCGGTGTCGAAGCGCGGGTCGTGCTCGCGCTGCACGTCCACGGGCGCCAGCCAGGCGCCCATGGACACGTCCTCGCTGTGCCAGGCACGCAGGTAGTCGCGGCTGAGGCGCAGGTAGCGCACCAGGTCGGCGGAGAG